AGCAGTGGTGAAAGAGAGAGAAATGAAAACATCTGAGGCACCTGATAGTGTTATGCCTTTAGAGAATGAAGATGATGATAATGATGTGTCCTCAAAGACACTTGATGCGCTGTTGAAAGAATTACCCCCTTGGCGTAGAAAAAGAGGTACCGTCCAGTCTTTGCCAAAGCAGTTAAAGCCTTCAGAAACGGTGATAGTGGGTTATGTCAACGGCAGACCCATATCAGCCTCTGACAGAAGTCTACGCCGTAGGTCAAGTAATAGCACTACATCATCCAATAAATCCCCTGTGACATCTCGTCAGAATGTAGCCAACAAAACTTCAGTTGATTCAACCGCTGACAAAAATTTGGAGAAATCCCCACCTGAAACACAAGAACCTGTAAAATCAATTGAGACTACTCCTATGATTGAGCAATTGACAGAACCACCTTCTGAACCTCCATCAAGCCCAACATCTAAAGTTTCCTCAAGGACCAAACAGATCCTGAAACAAAAGCGATTTCAAAGAGATCAGGACAGTTTGCCTGGCCTCTCTGATCAGCCTGTTGATCCTACTCAGAGTGCAGAGTCCACTCAGCAACATACATCAGCCAGCCTGAAGCCAGATGAAAGTCCAGTATTGCTACCAAGTTCGAATGCTGTCACTTCCATTTCATGTCCAAAACCACCTGATACCAATGTGACTTCTTCTGCAGAGCAGCTCCCCTCCCTCCCACTTAATGTTTCACCTCATGGTACTTCTGTGATTGGGTCATCTCCTCCTGCAGCCTATGAACAGCCCCAACAGAACACAGTCCCAGAGACAACTGTGCAAAACATTGGAAAATCTCCACCAATAGAGACGACTTCTGAAGAAATACAAAAAAACGAAGTTGAAAGTACATTGCAGGCTAAACAGAAACTAAGGTCTGCAAAGGCTTTAACTGACAATAAGAATGAGAAACAGCAACTTAGTGGTGAGGTCTCAAGTCCATCAGCAAATCAGACTCCTGTAAAGACTGAAATGCAAGCACAGATTATGCCATTAAGAAGTAAACGAGTTCTCCGAAGGGAGACTGAGGCAAGTGTTGTTACTTTGCCACAGAAGCTAAATGTAGCATCTTTAGAAGACTGGTCTACAAGTGGAAATGACAGCAGTACTTCTGTATCAGAAAAACCCACCAGGATGCCATTAAGGAGTGAAAGCATTAAGACCGAAAATTTGCATCAGTCTGTTACTCAGTCACCACCAGTACATAATAGGAAATTACCTTTGAGATCACAGAGATTGGCTGCACCTTCTACCAGTGCCCTTACTTTAACTGGAAGACAGAGTGATGTAGCTTCACCCGTTAGAATAATGCCAGAAAGAATAACTAAAACTCAGGTGAGACCCGTTCCAGTGTCTGTTGTATCTGTGTTGCCCCAGAGCTCAGCCATCCCTGAGCCCCCAAGGCCTGAGCCCCCAAAACAAAATGCTAACAAATTCTATGAGACTCTAACTGGAGAGGAAAGCCAGCATCTAATTACAAATCTGAACATTAAGTATGATAAAATGCAAAAAGGTTGGGTACAAATGGACAAAGAAGGTCAGCCGGCAACAAAATACAAAAGCAAAGCTGACAGACAAGCAGCTATATGGAAGAGTAAACGCAGAATGCGAAAATCAAAGTCTTCAGAGCACCAGAAATACTCACCAGTCCAAATGCTCTTTATGAAAGGTTTTAATCTTACCAGTATTTGCCGTTGGTTCCTCGAATCAACAGAAACAAAGTCCCTTGTCATTGTGAAGAAGGTGAATACACGTCTTCCGTCAGAAACTCAGCTGTGCTTCCACAGCTCGTCTAGTGCTTCAGGGACATCTCAGGGGGTATTTCCAAGCCTACAGGCAGAGCGCTTAAAGAAACATTTGAAAAAGTTTGCCATTGCCTCTCCTGTAAAGAGCAACCCCAAAAGTCAGAAACTGATTTTTTTTTTCAGTACTACTCAGACTAAGTCACATGCTGCCCGAGCATGTGGGCAAACGGGTGAATCCCAAAAATCCTCTGGTAAATCAAGTAATCCAGCTAGTGCAAGGATCTTAAGGAAATACTCTAATATCAGAGAGAAGATGCAAGTTCAGCAAACCAATGTTAGACTGAAAAAGGCCCCAAAAACCTTAAAAACCAACAATATAAAAAGACTGGCCACCACAAAAGCTGCTGCTAAGTCAAGACTGAAATCCTCTCTGAAAGCACAGAAATCACCCCTACCTGTCAGTAAACGAATGAAACGGCCTGCAGCAAAAATTGAAAGAAGTAAAACATTGGCTGGCAAAAAAACTATGAAGCGTCCTCTTCAAGAGAGGGCAGTCAAGGCTCACAGCAGTAGCAGAACTTCAAGAGATGCAACAAAAAGAAAATTGCCAAAGAGATGTTCTCAACGGCTAGGGTCTCCTAAAATATCTGAATGCAATCCTGGTGACACATCTAAAAGTAAGGTTGACAACAAAAAACAAAATCAAGCAGAGAAAACAGAGGTGGAAAAACCTGTTGTGAATAAAATGAATGGCTCAAAGGTCCAAGCAAAGGAATCATCACGAAGTACACTTGTGGAAATCAAAGGTACTGAGAATGCCGTTGAAACCCCACAGCAGATCTCTGACGTCAAGGTTCCAACCTCACCCGACCAGGTACTAACAAGATCCCAAAGAAAAATAGAGGCAGCAATCCCTTCGAGTGGAAGCCCCAGTCATGTTTCAAAGAGGGCCAAAAAGTCCATGACAACACAAAATGCATCTCCTAAAACAGTCAGGAAAGCTGAGGAACCCACGCTGACCAGAAGTGGGGCTTTAAAGTCCCCTGCAAAGAGAAGTCAGGCAGCCTTGTTGCCACGCACTGCAATGAAGAGAGCTCAGGAGCTTTTGGAGACCCCAGCTAAGCGCACCAGGACATCGGTCTCAAAATAAACTGGACCTGCAGAGAGAGATCATCTTTATTTAGATGATTTTGACATTTTGTTCTATCTGGAATACAGTCAGGTGGAGCGGAAGTATCTATTTTTTACTCTCGCCAAACTCTTCGGAGGATACCTTTTTCAGTGGGCAAATATGTGAAGAAGGATGGCATTTTGAAGTTAATTTATGCTTTTGTAAAGCTTTGATGTGACAATGCAAATGTGATGGATTATTTGTTGAGCATTTGCTCCGTGTTCAGGGACTACAGACAAGTCCTACATGATGTCTAGCTGATGTAGTTGCTGTGTGGCTTTATGTTTCAGCACTCGGCGAGACGGCTGGAGATAACAGCTTATCAAACCTCTTTTTAAATGTTGGGGTTATGGTAAGTGGGGGTGATGTCCTTACTGAGGTAACATTAAATTCATTCACCACCCTCTTGTTTCTCTTTGCCCATTTGTATATAACATTGTTTTAGATGATAGCATGCACTGTATTTACTGTTCAGAGAGCTTGATATGAGAAGGGAGATCAGTTTTTGAGCATTTTTACTTGCAGTAAGAAGGCAGTTTATATCTCCAGCCTGTCTTCCAATCACAACATTGAGTATGGGACTGTTGTGACCAGGTGCCTTATTAATGAAGTGTAAAGTAATAGAATTTGTTGCTAAATGTGAAAACGTCTGTCCACAGCTTTCAATTTCTGAAGAGATGGTCAGCATTCATTTGCTTCATGGTCTATATGCATATTGTTTTCGTTCCATACAGTATGTGCTTCTTGCTTCATTTGTAAAATCAAATGTTGATGGAGCCATTCAGGTGTTCCAAATTACTCTTAACTGGTTTTACCTCTTAGCTGTTTTTTTATGCCCATTTCCAAAAGCATTAACATAAAGTTGTTATAGTGGTATTATATGTTAAAGCAAATACAAGTCTGAATTGCTAAAACAAAAGACAGGCCTGCTTTGTACGTGTCATGGCAACTCTGTACGTTTATGTTTAGGTCCGTTTTCATTACCTTTGCAGTCCATTCTGGTCATTGCACCTGTTGTCTGCTTATAATAGTGGCTTCACTTAGTGTTTTACCCTCTTCTGTATGTATTAAGTCTTGTTGGTATGGAGGCAGATTTTGGTAACTCTTGCAGTAGAGCCGTTTCCTTCCTACAACTGAAAACCAGAACTATATTTATGCCCCTGATTGTTGAAAATATTAAACCAATTTAAGACTATGTATGCACAGTTAAGCCTGTATTGAAAACCCATTTGAGATGATTTTGGGGTATTGGTTTACAAAGGACTGAAAGTTGTATTTGGTTGATTAAGGCCTCCTTAGCATTAATTCATATTACAGGGTGATAAATTCCTTCCCTTGATTATTTACAAATTGCATGTGAAATTTTTGGGGTAGTTTAGCCACACTTCAGAATTGTGCATTCAATTAAATGTACAGGTTTTATGTTTTTGTATTATCATCGACTGTCAGGCAGATGTTCTCATAATGTGATGTTTCTTTACTTCCACAGTAGTAACTTACATTAGTGTATTGTCAATGGAAAAATACCAGTTTTAGCAGTCTTTTTTTTTTTTATTATGGTAATTTTTCATCTTTAGAGGGCAAATCATCTGCAAATTCAAAACATGCCCATCCTGTTTTTATTGTTATTTAAGAACTCCATGTAGGATAATTAATTTGGCAAATCTGAACAGCCCACCAAATATCAGACTTGAACATGTTTATTCTTTACAGTTACTATTTAAAGAATTTGATTTTGTATATTAGAAATAACAGCTTTATTTGTGGTAATCCCAAGAATGACACATCTATGTTAAAAACATTGTATTTTTGCTGGACTTGATAAAGTTGTTTGAATTTTGTTTTGTTTCTTGGCTCATTCATACCCTTTTTAATGTTATTTTATGTAATTTCATCAGACAAAGTTGATCAGCATTTTGGACCAGAATCCAATAAGTCGTTTTAATTCAAAGGATGTGACTGAAATGGCAATGTGAAAGCTAAAGGGCTCAGTATGCTTGAAATGAACTTAACAGTATTTATACCCACTTGAAGCCTGAACACCACAGGAACCTCCCACTGTGGGACAGATCGGTAAACAGTTGGCCTCCACCATGAGTTGAGTCCCGGCTTAAAACGGGATGAATAAATAGCAGCTTACCAAAACCAACGTGACATGAGGAAATTGACGATTCATTCAAGTTGGTAAGGAAATGGTACTTCCTTATCCAACTACAGCCAGAAAGACAACACAGATATAGATCACCTTTTATTTTAGTTACTTAAAAACCACACACGCAGTACATTATTTTTATGTTATGTTGATGGACTGAACCTGTGGTCTCTGAATGGGCCAATCCATGAAAGCATTTGAGCGGAGCCTATTGGCAGTGTTACCATCTGAGATGTTTGTGTCCAGTTTATTTGTAGCCTCTGAGGTGTTAAAACATGAATGGACATAGGTAAGGTGTTTCCCATTTGAAGCTGTAACTGATGATCCTGTGTGGCTTTCTTTCTGCAGTATGCTTCTGTGGTGAGTACATTTATTTTGTTCTCATTTAAGCACACTGACAGTTTCCATAGCTAGAACGGGGGGGGGGTAAACATGAAGCATACTTTAATGTTGCCATGTAGTCAGTTAGCACCGGGTTACAATTTGAGCCATGTTTTTGGCCTGTATTTGTTGACATTTAGCCAAATTGGCACTATTAAAGGTATGCTGAATTAGCTATTAATACTTCCTGTCCCTGCAGTGTGCTCATGAATGTACATGCAACTGTCACTGGATTAATTTACTACTGAAGAAAACTTGCACGCATGATGTTTCTTAAGCAAGGTCTGGAGTTGAAATGTATATTTTTTTTGTGATTTCTCAGCAGATTTATGGACACTTATTTATGATGGACAACATCAGCAAGTGTAAGTCACATATGTTAATCAGGTCCATGTGTTTAGATTTAACTGTTGCACTTACTCTGGGGAGGGGTATAAATGCTCACACCTCGTGACACTCAGCCCTCTGCCCCCTTTCAAGCCTACTGCATCCCCCTGGGTGCCTCAGTTAGAAAACCTCTGATCTATAGATGGTACCTGGCAGAGGTGGGACCAAGTTGCTGTTATGCAAGTCCCGAGTCAGTCTTGAGCCTTGACTACTAAGTTCCAAGACAAGTTTCAAGTTGAGACCTACAAGTCTTGATTCAAGTCCAAATCCTGAACTTTTATGAGCTGCAGCATCTGACCGCCTCAGAGCCACTGACCCTGGAACAGGAGTATGAAATGCAGGGGAGCTGGAGGGAAGATGATGACAGTAAGACTTCTTCTGCAGTAAATATACACACAGAACATGCTCTTATTCATCCTCTAAAGCAGTTGGTCTAAATCTGAAGGCTTGACAGACTTGGCCTTTAGCCTTAGATTTTTTTTATGTGATTAACTGGACACCTTTTATTTCTCTGAAAACTACCTAAATAAAACAGAGAAAAACAATTGGTTGAACCGATCATACAGCAGTGGCTGGAAAGATTAATCTGAGAGAACTTCTTTTACATTTGTTAACTTATTCTAAGTTAGAGTAACAAGTTTTTAACATTCAGAATTTTTACAAAGCCTACATAAATAAGCTAACACATTGTCCAAATAACAGAAGTTTGTTTACTGCAACTTATGATGGGATAAAGTGAAATATCAGAATCTGCTTTATTGGTCAGGTGTGTCACACACATGAGGAATTTGACTCTGGTACATCAGCTCTCAGTGTGTACAGTATATACAGTATGTGTATGTGTATATATCCCCATGCAAGGTGCAAGTAAACAGAAGACCAGTATAAGGCTGTATAACAAAAAAAAAAGAGGCAGTATAAACAGGCAGTAGGAAAAAAAAATGCAGACATAAAAGGGAATGCTCATCAAGATAAGATAATAGGAATGAGGCAGAATAAAAGCAGAGTACTTAAAATAGAGACCAGGACAAGGGGCAAGTAAAATACGATTCAGTGACATTTGCTTTATGAGGTCAACACTGCTTTCAAGTTCTGTCCTTATGGCTTCCAAATCATTCCTTCCAGACCTTCGTACCATCATCCATCAGATTTGTTAGGTTAAAGTGTTTATAAATAACCGGTTATCATTGGATATGATGTGAAAATAAGACATCGTTCTTTCTGCACTAGTAAAATCATTCAACTATTACTTGAAGAAAAGCCGTTTAATTTGACTTTTTTTATTTTTTGTCAGAGTGCACATCTATCATCTTGGATAAGCAGCGATGGGCAGATCCCAGTATAGAAGAGGAGCAGTGCATGGTGGGAGATGTCAACATGTTCCTGACCGACCCAACAGACTTCTCCTCGGCTGAGCTGGAGATCATGATAGCAGGTGATGCCCAGTGTGCTTATCTTAAAAGTGACTCAAAATCAAAGGCTGAGCAAATATCTTCAGTCAGCCTGTTCTGTGGTTTGTTCATCTCAATCATTTCCTGTGTACATCTCTTTATATGTGGACACTATATTCCCCTTGTTTTCCACAGAGCCCAGTTACAGAGGCAAGGGCATTGGGAAGGAGGTGACGCACATGATGATGCACTACGGTGAGCATCTGATCCCATCTTTCAAAATGTTTCGAGCAAAACAGAAGCTTAAAGTCACTGTGTAGAAGTTGAAAATTTCCACATCTCTTGAATTACTGCCCATTTTTCTGCAATTCAGTCTTGTGCTGTGTTCATCAGTAGTTGGAGAATCAACCTATGGTGGAGCAGGAAAATTAATAAATGCAAAATTGCCATGAGAATGCAGACAGCAGTGGGTGAGATTGATGCAGGTGTATGGTTTGTGTAAGACGACTTGCAGAATAACCAACTTTTAAACAGTATCTTTTGTGTGTTTGTCAGGAAAAGTAAACTGCTCCTAACATTCAGTACTATCCTATGTTGACTAAAAGTAACGGGACGGATACATCGCTCGGTTCTGATTCCTTAGATATAAACTACATTTGACAATGTGTGATAAGCTGCGTTGCTAGACTTTCCAAAGCAGCTGAAAACTGTAAAATCTTACATTTATCTCTGTACAGTATTTATTTGAAACCTCTCTTTATTCATACTAAATATTAGTGGTTTTAGATTTTATTTAAAAAATAAATAGTAGGAATAAGCCACAGTTTTGCCTAAAACATGTCTTGTAACTTTTCTTTTTCCTGTTCCTTCTTCTCAGCACACAGTAAGTAGTGATAGTCCTCTGGCACCCGAGGCTTCGACACATGCTCATGAAACACTTGTAACGAACCACTCTGCCAAGACGTGGTTTGGTCACGTGACTAGTGACGTTTGAAGCACTTGAGTGACGTTCGAAGCAGCTGAGCGCTTCGGACGTCATATGAATCACCCGATTGGTTCGGCTTGGTTGTCTCAGCTCTTTGGGAGAGCTGAACTGAGCTGACAGAGATTTGGTTTGACAGTGTTGCATTCAGTACTAAAGATTTGATAACTTTACTAAACCATGACACTCGGAGCAAATGAAAACAGTTGATGTAAGCGCTGTAACATACACATTGGTGGGAGTTGATGAAGGATCATGAAGTGCAGTAGCTAACGTTACTCAAATAGGTGAAATGACCAGGAAGTAGTGTGAGTGGGACTGGTGGTGCATCATGAAAACCACAATCTTGCAACAATGTAGCGTGGGTGTGATTCCCAACAGATCTGAGTGTTATTTAGGTTATCAATTAAACACATCATATTTGCCATCTAACCTATTGAACACCCACTATTCGACATCTTTTAAGCTATGGGCTATTTTAGACTTGTTTTAGGATAGAATATGATTCATAGCACAAAATGTCAGGCTAGGTATATAGCTATAGCCCATGGCAATCAGATGTGCCAAATAAGAAACATGGCCTTCAACATGGGTTCATGTTTATTTTATGTTTTATTGTGTCAGCTTGAAACCATACAACCATGTAGTGTACTTGAACAGGAATG